CTTCATCCAGCAACTGATGAAAGCAGAGGCAGACACTCACAGCTAAATACTGAACTGAATTCCTGGAATCCAGTGTCAGAAATGGAGAACTGATGGGCAAAGGAGTTAAGACTGGGCTGGTTTAACCCACAAAAACAGTTGACTTGAACAAAGGGGAGCTCTTGGACCCCAGATTGATGGCTGTGTGGAAAGCATGGGCCTGACCCAGACCCCCTGAATGTGGGTGTCAGTGAGGAGGCCTAGGTAGCCTATGAGGCCTTGGGTACTATTTATCTGTGACATACAAATAGGCTTTGAGTGCCCATCCCCCAATGAGGGATGCTCTCTCAACCTGGACTCTTGAAGGAGGGCCTAGACCCTACCCTGGATAACATGACAGACTCTGGAGCTCCACCATGGAGGGCCTCACCCTCTCTGGGGATTGGAGTGGAGATTGGGTGTGGGACTGGGGAGCCTGGTGGGGAGGAATGGAAAGGAAAATGTTTCTCTCCTCTCTGTCTCTCTCTCTCTGTCTCTTTCTGTCTCTGTCTCTCTCTCCTTTCCTCTCTCCCTTCTTCTCTCTCTCCCTTTCCATTTTCTTTTATTTCAAAGCACAGTCTTACTCTGTGATCCATGCTGGCCTCAAATCATAATCCTCTGCCTTGGCCTCTGGAATGCTGAGATAGTACTCATGTGTCACTATGCCTGGCTTCTGAAGCTTTTCTGAGCTGACAGGCGCCTCTAGTAGAAAATTCCTTGCTTCATTTGACAGATCATGGTGAAAATGAAAGCCTACTAAAAATACTGTATAAAAGTACCCTCGGGTTACGTCTGAGATGAGTAAGAAACGTAATGAATTTCATGTTTAGGCTTTAGGTCCTGTCACCAAGGCATCCCGTTATGTATATGAAAATATTTCGCAACCCAAAAAAAACTTTGAAATATGAAATGCTTCTTGTCCATGGCATTTTAGATGAAGACTATTCAAGCGTGTGTATAAAAGAGACCTGAAAAAGCCATTCAAGTATACATATACACCTTCACACACCAGCATGCCTGACAGTTCCCAGGGCGGCAGGGTGTAGATTCAGTTGACTGCCTGGTGTGTGTGTGTGTGTGTGTGTGTGTGTGTGTGTGTGTGTGTGTGTGTGTGTTGGTTTCTTCTTTGAGTCTTTTGTTTTCACTCTTTTGTTTTATTTATGAGACAGAGTTCTATGCAGCTGAAGTTGGCCTTGAACTCATTATATAGCTGGGGATGACCTTGAACTTCTGATCCTCCTGCCTCTACCTTCCAAGTGCTAGGATTATAGTTATATACTACCACACCAGGCTTACGCAGTGCTGGGGCACAAACCCAGGACTTCATGGCTGCAGGCAAGCAATCTGCCACGTCAGCCATATCCTCAGCCCTCTCTATAGGTCTTTTGATGAACATTGAATATGTATGCATTATGTACATACATATGTACAATAGGCTCCTACAGAATGTTTTCTGTAACACACACACACAAACACACAATCACACTCTTTCTTGAGAAAGCCAATGTTTACTCCGCTAAGGATTAATATAGGGACTTCCTGAAATTTATGTTGATGACTAAGTGGTGTGTGAGGGAATACGTGCCTGGGAGCATATCAAGACTGCTTTTTACAAACACGCACGCTTTGGACAAGTGGGCAATGGAGGTTGGTTGGAGAGTTCGGCCAGGAAGATCGGACTGTGAGGACAGGTGCCCAGCTCTGTTTTCTTACTACAAACACCCTCTCCTACTTCCTGTGCATATAAACCCCTTGTTAGGTGAAGGGTTTGCTGAACAAACATGAGGACCCACGTCTAGATAAACTCGCATGTTACATGCCAGGTGAAATACGTATGCCTGCAATGCCAGCACTGGAGAAACGTGGGAGGTGGGGGGGTGAGGGTGGAGTGCGGGCTTGGAGACAGGTACATTCCAGGGCTTTGCTGACCAGCAGTCTAGCTGGACAGTGAGCTGCAGGTTCAGTGAGAGATCTTGTCTCAGAAAACTGGGTGGGAAGCAATAGCAGAAAATACCCAAAGTTGACCTCTGCCCTGTACGTATACCCATATACAAGCGTATACCCCACACACAGGCACACACACACACACACACCACATCACACAGGAGCCCCTACCAAGAGTGGCTCAAACTTTTCTGAGCTCCCAAAAGCGGCCTGAAGAACCAGCCACCATTGTCAGGGACCATCTGCACTCATGACACCAGGGTGACTTTTTGACAGGGTTTCAATGAGACAGGTCCCGGGGCGGCCATCTCCTGGGAGAAGAAGCTGAGGGACCCTGCCCTGCTTCAGCCCAGGTGGTTTACATCCCACACCCAGCTCTTTGTAGCTAGGTGTCCATCAGCAACTTGCTTCACTCCTCTGAGCCATGGCCCTCTCATCTTTAATGGGGGTAATTATAGCACAGGGCGGTTGCAGTGTTGCAAATATTAATCTCAGGAGCATTATTATTAATCCTAATAACAGCCTTGCAGGCTGGCAGGCAGGGCACGCAGGCATTCCTGGTTTGTAAGTGAAGAGACAGCTCAGCACTGTGAAGGTGACTCATTCAGTGTCACAAGCCGCCTGCGGGAAGGAGCACACGGGGACTCAGATCCTCCCACACTTGGTTCAATGCTATTTTCCCTACAGTACACCCAAGGGGAGACAAGGTAGAGACCTGCAACCGACATGATTTCTAGTTAATAACTTAAATATAGCCGAGAGCCGTGCGTTGTTAGCTCTTTCCCCTCTTAAACTTTTCGTAAGACCTGGCTCCATACACTCAATTTGCTTCCGTTGCGCTTTTGCTACTGCAAATGTGTATAGCTGTGTTCTGCAGGCAGCGCTGCCCGGGAAAGACAGGAGACTCCGAGGGACGTGCCCCAGGAAGTTGGCCGCCCCTGTGGCTCACTCATCTGTTTCCTTGGTGAGCTTCCTTTAGAGAATCTTACTCATAAAATCCTTGCGCCAAGTGATGACCTAATTACATATAAGTGTACATGCAGAGGTGGATGGATAAATGATAGATTTGAACTTTGCTGTCACTCATGCTGAGTGAAAAGGTCCTATGGTTAATGCATCCTCTGTAGCTGGGTGAAGGAGCCCTGTCATTCATCTGGGCACTGCCCTTGGCACATATTAGATGCTCAGGGACTCAGTGAGCTCTTCAGTAGGGCTGGGTCTCATTAGTTTTAAAGGTATTAAAAGGATGTGGACGTGGAGCTGCAGACAAGGCCAAGCCATTTACCAGTGACCTGACCCTGGCTTTCCTGTCTAAATGTTCCAGGGTCTTCTGTGGGCATAAGCAGTGGCCCGTTGCCTTCCCCTTAAATGCCAGCTCCGGTTGAATGGTGATGGTTGGCACAGGGAACTTCCAGGCTGTGGTCTGGAAAGATAGTCCAAGGAAAACGATGCTGTCTCACTGGGTACTGACCCCAGGGCTAAGAGGCTACACCCTGGACACCAGACGTCACCTAAGTCTTCTTGAAACCTTTCAGTTTTATACATCTATACTAGGAAGGTACTTCGCGTAGGCAGACACTGAGTTTTAGGATTAACTCAGTAGCTCAAAGTCATTTCTGGGTTTATGTCAGAAAGCCCTTTATCTGTAGCCCTGCAACCCATGAAATAAAGAAATAAAACTGGGGAACAGGCAGTGTTTACGATGGAGGAAATGCCCCGGAAGTTCATCTGGCATCCCTGGGAAGCAAAGGGAGGCAGGGGTTGCTGAGCATAGCATTATTTCTTCACCTTGGAGAGAGGTTCTGAGTCAGCACAGGAAGAAGAATCACCTGCCTTGGGTTGTTTGATGGTCCAGGCATGTCATTTAGGTCACTTAGCTCATTGCTGCTTTCTTTCCCCATAAAAGGATCTATGGCTCATTCAGCATGTTCATATGCGCCTACCAAGCCCAGTCCTCCTCCCCATCCCCATGTTCTTCACCTGGATGAGTTTAACTGGACCAAGAAGACTGTCAAGTCTGGCAGCCTTGAAACAGAACAGGTCCTTGGAACTCTAGTCAGAGTTCACAACACAAGTGACCTACAGAGATAGTTGACTTGAAGACAGCTGGCTATTGGGCCTTATTTGACTTAGTTGGCCTCTGTGATAGCTTGGAGCTGGCTGCTGTATATGACTGAAATTCATCATACATCTGTTAGTAGAGAGAGACCATGATGAGAAGGCATCTGTAGCTGAGTTTGTCCCTGCATGAACATTCTAGAACACACCCAAACCTAGATGGTCTAATAGCCACTTCAGGAGGTTCACAGTGCCATCGAGGGGTAAACAGGAGACGGCTGAGACTTGCCTCTGCTTACAATGATTTTTCCTTCTTGTTTCTTTTCTGAAGCAGTGTGTCACGCAGCCTAGGTTAGCCTGGGACTTGCTGACGCTAGGGTCGTTGGGGATTGAAGAGTCTCACACAACAGGACGCACAGAGTTAGTGGCAGTGTGCATAGAGTTCCAAGCCAGATGGGGTCCCAGTACTGAGAAGGTGAAGTGAACACTGTCTCCCATCCCTAACCAGATATCTTCAATTGACAACTGCTTGCAAAGGAAAAATTAGTTTTCTCCATGGATATACAAACCATACTAAGTGTCAGATCCCATACCTAGCAGTAGATGAACTCATGGGTATTTTGTCTCATAATACTTTGTCTGGGCATTTCTAAACTTACTGGTATTTTGCTTATATATTATGATTTCTGATTGCGTGTTTTTAGGGATTTTCTGTGTGCACATGAGTCTCTGCTTGTACATGAGCTTCCCGTGCTTTTTCTTTTTCTCTGTCTGTTTTATTTTATCCTGGTGTATTTTTTCTTTACTTGTCTTTGTTTTCTAACTAGAGAGAGAAAGAAGGTGTGGAATTAGATGTGTGGGTGGGGGACCTGAGAGGAAATGAGGGAGGAGAAACCATGATCAGAATATATTATATGAAAAAACTATTTTTTATTTAAAAATACATAAGCCAGGGCTAGAGAGATGGCTCAGAGGTCAAGAACACTGGTTGCTCTTCCAGAGGACCTGGGTTTGATTCCCAGCACCCACATGGTGGTTCACAACCACCTGTGCTCCCGTTACAAGAGACCCAACATCTTCCAGTCTCCTCCAGCAGCATGCCAATGTGTGGTGCATAGACATGCACACAGAAAAAATATCCCATACATACAGCCCTGTCCATGGCAGCAAGTCTTCCATGACTCTCTAGAGCAGATGTTTCTAAAGACTACACAGGCTCTGCTGCCCTGCCCTGCTTCTCCACAGAGCCACTCCCTGAAGCTGCAGAAAACAAGAGAACACAGAGGTGGCCCTCTCCACAGGTGTGTGGCCAGGGCCACTTACCCGCGGCAGGCAGGCCCATCCAATCATTAGCGGTGGATGTTCCCTGCTTTGAAGTCGACATATCTGTGCTCAAGAGTCACATCTGTTTCTTTCCTTCCAGGGAGCGGGCTTGGCGCTGCCCTTCTCATCTGTTGGTGGCTGACCAGGGCTGTACACAGCATCTGTTTCCCACTGATCTTCACAGCTGGACAGACTCCCACAGCAGGAGGCTCCCAGGGGACCCAAGAAAGCAGGGAACTACAGGATTTCCTCAGGGTTCACCAGGTGGAGTTCGGAGGAATTGCTTTCAACTCTGACTTGGCCGGGCTTGTCTCCTGCACCTGGCTTTAGGATGGCTCCAAGATGCACTAACAGGGAACCAATACCAATATTTTCATGTTAGTATCTGATTGTATAACAAAGGCCAGTTTATAAACTTCAGAAAGAACTGCACAACGGACACCACAAAGTCCTTCTTCTTCTTCCTCCTTCCTTCCTTTCTCCGTCCCATTCTCTCTCTCCCTCTCTTTCCCTCTCTCCCTCTCTCTCTTTCACAAAGTGTGTCCAACAGAAGCTAGAGTGTGGCTGGTAGGGTGTGTCTGTCACTTCCTTGGGGTGGATTTTAATGTCAGATTGACCAGGAGCAGGAGTGAGGAGAGCCAGGTTCACACAGAGATGGGCATGCAGTTTTAATTCATTCCTGTCCAACTCTGCCCTGCTGTGGGTGGCTTAAAGGGACAGCAGGCTCCTGACAGCACATGTTCCAGCACAGGTGTTAGCCTGTCAGCTGCTGAGCTTTCTCCTACAGCAGCCAGACAAGAAGTCTACTTAAGAGATTCTTCCGACCGGCGTCATCAAATGCCTGTTGCCTGAAGAGTGACCAGATAAAATATGGCAGAATTGTTTATACAGATTCTTTTTTAATTAATCTTTTCATCTGGGATGGTTAGTTTCTAATTTATTTATTTTTATTTTATATGCATTGGTGTTTTGCCATGGGTGTCAGGTCCCCTGGAACTAGAGTTACAACAGTTGTGAGCTGCCATGATGGTTGCTGGGAATCAAACCCGGGCCCTCTGGAAGAGCGGTCAGTGCTCTTAACCACTGATCCATCTCTCCAGCCCTGGATTCTTGTATCATAAAATATGACTCAGGAATACCACTCAGCCATCAAAAGGAACGCAGCACTGATACTGGCTGTAAGTCTTGGAAACATGATGGTAAGTGAAAGAAGCCAGTTGTGAAAGGATAAGTAATGTGTAATTACATTGATACAAACAGGTGTAGAGAATGGAGATTTGTGATTAAGGCTCAAATATGAAGTTATAAAAATAAATAAATACATTAGCAGTGGCGTTAAATAAAAGTGGGCTAAATCTGCCAGTTAAAAGGCAAAGACAGCCCCTCTGGGGTCATCTACCTTCCCGTTGTTTTCATATGTACATCTCCAATCTCAGCCCTGTGTTCCAAACATCAGTATCTGTAACAGGGCTCCAGACCTTAACACAGCTGACTCCAGCATTGAAGTACCACGCAGGCCATAAAACTCAGCACATAGACAGCACCACCTGCCAAAACCAAAACAAAGGCCTCATCCATCAAAGTCCATAGTTCTGGGAAAGACTCTAAGTGTACTAACCTGGCTTTTTGGCTTCTGTAGTTCCCCTCCTGACCAACTGTTCTTGTTAACTGAAGTATGTCAACCCAGGATGTGGTTTTTTGTACTTAAGAGCTCACCCTGAAGAAGGCTTAGGGATACACTGGGATTCTGAACACCCAACATTGTTGCTGACAATGAATAAAGACTTTCTGTTGGCTTAAACCCATGTCGGAGCAGTCTTCTCTGGTGGGTATCGTGCAACAGTGTCCTCATCTGAGGCATCTCAGGCTTCCTGTGGTCAGAGCCTGGTGAGAACATGTGCAAACAGCTCTCTTCCTTCTACTTCAGTCTTCCGCAGCTCACAGACACCGCACCCCTCAGCCGTGCTTGGCCTCTAACTGCTCTGGATGTTCTCTGTTTCTCCAGGACGTGCTCCTAGCAAGTCATGCCATTTTCTCTCACCTGCCTGAATCTGTCCTTTTTCAGCACTGACATCCAAGTCCACACCCTCAGGATTTCTCTAACTTGTCCCTCTGTGAGTCTACCCAGAGGCTGTTCTCTATGCAGATAAAGGGGAATAATAATATGGCATTCTATATTATCAATGTAATATACACTGTATTCCATACCTTATGACAATAACCACCCTTGTGAATACACCTCTGGTGAATAAGTAGCAGAATGTTCCTTCGAAACTCTAAGTCTGGATATTTTGTTTCATATAAAGCTTTGGACTTGTTTAGGCTTGAAACACAATCCCGGGCTCCTGTCACACATTTCTCTCTTCCTCAGAGTGATATCCTTGCCCTTCTTTCTGCTACTCGCTGGCAGTTCTAGCCTGGATCTTCTGAGAGCTGACTCTTTGTGTCACCCCAGATGTCACCTTCCCAAAGGGACCAACTGTCACCACGTGGTCTCAGCGTGTTTCTATAGAGTCTTGATCGGTCTTCTTCAGAGCACTTACCGTGTGATAATATCTATTATTTCTCTGTCTCCTTTCTTGAACTTGGTCACAGCAGCCAGCCTATTGCTGTTCGTGGAGATGTGTATTTCTAGAACAAAGTTGGTGCCCATGAAACATTTGTTAAGTAAACAAACCCACACACCTTTGTCTTAGTTGGGGTGACCATTGCTATGATGAAGTCCCATGACCAAAGCAACTGGGGAGGAACGGGTTTATTCAGCTCACACTTCCACATCACAGTCCATCACTGAAGGAAGTCAGGACAGGCACTCAAGCAGCGTAGGCACTGGAGGCAGGAGCTGATGCAGAGGCCATGGAGGGAGCTGCGTACTGGCTTGTTCCTCATGGCTTGCTCAGCCTGCTTTCTTACAGAACCTAGGGCCACTGGCCCAGGGATGGCATCTCTCTCAATCGGCCGGACCTTCCCACATCAATCACTAAGAAAATGCCCATGTGCTAACCTAAGTGAAGGCATTTTTTCAACTGAGGCTCCCTCCCCTCTGATGAATATAGCCTGTGCCAAGTTGACAAAAAACTAGGCAGCCCACCAAGGGGAGGTGAGGAGGGGTGGGAGGGAGAAATATGGTTGGAAGGAAAAATAAAACTTAAAAGAATAAATAAATTATATAAAAAAGGAAATAATACCTATCAAACTGAAAAAAATTAAAAACAAAACTAGCCAGCACACACCAGAACTAGGCTATCCATAATGAGTTGCGGCTCCCAACCATGCCTGCCTTATCAGTGAGTTCATTTCAGTGCTCATGTCATCCTTTTATGAAAAAACCATCAGAGTGATTGATTTCTGAAACCTCACAGGCTTCAGGTGTGTGCGGTGCAGCAGCCCTCCATCCATCTAGCTTGGTTTGAAGCATTAGTGACAGCCGGGTTTGCAGGTGAAGCTCACTCCTGAGGGAGGTATGCAGACAGACCAAATTCTCTTTTGCACATGACTTTGTGGAATTTGGCCCAGCCCTGAGTGTTTCTCCCTCAGTTCCTCTAATGAATCGAGCCAGATGCTGATGTATGTCACTCTGTCTGTTTTCCCAGGGTCATGGAGAAGACACCGAGTATCTTTCCACCTTCATGTTAAATGACAGCAGGTTCAGATCGTGAAACCAAACTTGCATTCACCCAAGGGCTTCTAATTACCATGCAGCAGGGAGACATACTCCTGCCTCTCTCACAAATTCTCTTCTGCAGCTGGAAACAACGCTCCAGGGATCCTCAGACTCAGAGTGCAAAACAGTGATTTGTGCTGTTGCTTAAAACCCAGCCTTCTGGGTCTTACTCCAACCTGGGAACTTTCAAGAGGGACCTGAGATTTATACGTTTCCATCCCACATCAAACACAGGCCAGCCGCACTGAGGCAAGCCTCGAGGACCAGCTGAGTCAGTGTTTGAGACACAGTATTTCTTCCTAGGGTCTGGCCAAGGACTCAGCATTACCAGAACAAAATTCCCCAAAGCTCTGGCATCCTGATCACCGGTACTGTAGCTATCACCTGTCTTCTTAGCTCTACTGTTTATTAAAACCCTCCACTCTATGAAGCTAATCATTAAAAATTTGCCCTGGTGCTGCCGGGCGTTGGTGGCGCATGCCTTTAATCCCAGCACTCGGGAGGCAGAGGCAGGTGGATCTCTGTGAGTTTGAGGCCAGGCTGGACCGAAAGCCTCCATAACAATACAGAGAAACCCTGTCTCGTAAAAACCAAAAAAAAAAAAAAATTGCCCTGGTGCCTCTTGCCAAGGACTATTGCTGTTGATAACCCTAGTTTATGCCCTCCCAAAAGACCAAGTACCACCAAATAGGGTGAATTCAATCTCAGATTTTCTTGTCTCCTTCACAGAACTGGCTTAGAACTGGGTCCGCTGGCCATTCCTCTCCATATCGCCTCCTGATTCAAAATGCTTGCACCTCCCAACACCAGCATTCCCTTGTCCCAGAAAGGAAGAGGTTGGGACCCAGAAGCATCCAGGGGCTGTTTTTAACAGACTTTTACAAAAGGAACCTTTCCAGGTTTACAGAAAAATTTAGCGGGGCTCGCAGTACTCCACCTTCTCCTCCGGCTCCTGTGTTTCTAAACGTCTTTCATGTTACTGGGGTATGTTTACCAGGGTAGGTAAACTGAGATTGTGGCCTGACTGCCTATTAGTGTCCACTGATGACGTCACAACAAGGCTGTTGGTGTTGACGTGGTGGATAACGTGTACCCACCACAACAGCGCAGGAAGGGCGCACCGTCTAGTCACGTCTCCTCAAGCAGCACTTTTTAGTTGAGCAGAATCCCTCAAAGAACTGAGACCAGCCTCATCACTCATTCTGTGCTTTTTAAAAAAATATTTAGTCCCACAGTATGAATCCAGATTACTCTTTGAACTTGACATGATGTATTGGATTGCTGCCACCGGCATAAACGGCACCTGAACGCTATCTCCCAACGCCCCCGGCTCGTGGCTGGACGGCATTCCAGGGCTGCTGTGGCCTGCACAGAGTGCCTTCTTTGCAAGGTCCCATCGGCTGTCATGGTCAGATGAGGATGCTGGGCCTCCTTAGCACCAGGAAAAGGAGGGTCTGTGGAAGGTGCTGGATTTCACTAAAATCCATGGTGGACTGCAGCTGGGCCTGAGGCATCACAGTAGCCTCGGTTTCCAAAGAAGCCTATTACCAGCTCTGATCCCAAGGCCAAAGTCGGGGGCCATTACAGCCATCCCAAACATCTGACTGGGGGTAGGCAGAGATGTTTCTGGGTCTACTTGGGTGGACAGGGGATCCATCAGGGGGCCATTGGAGACTACTTACATTTACAGTCCTACGTTGAAAAGTGTTGAAGACTATTTCCTGCCCTCACTTCTGCCATAGCTTTGGTGCTGGAGGCTGGGTCCTCAGTGTGGTAAAGGGGATGGTTAAAAGGTTGAGCCTGTGAGTGGGTCCCTGGTGACACTGCCCTCAGCTGGAATTGACCACATACAGTTCCTCAGAGCCCAGGGTATAAATAAAAAGGCCAAGCCTGGCCCCTCATCTCTCTGGCTTCTGTCCTTAGCATGTGCTCTTCCCTTTCCAAATAGACTGTCACCATGATGTCCTGCGCCCCGCCACGGGCAGCGAAAGAGCTCTCAGCAGAGTGGAGACCAGTGCTGTGCTGTTAGCCTACTCAGGAGGTGTGAACTACCCCGACCTCCTTTCGGTAGGCACTACCTAACCTCAAGCGTTTTGCTATGGCAATGGAAGAGACTAAGGTATCTAGCGTACCTGTGGATGAGGAAAATGACCCTATCTGGCTGTGAGGGCATCATGGATATTGCTATCCACGAAGAAAAGGAGAGTGGAGTGAGCATAAAGTTCCCATTCTGAAACCTGTGTATTTGATTTTTGATAGAGAAAAGACTGCATAGAGAATAACAAGTTAGCTGGAGGGAGCTTGTGAGCGTTTCTCTCACACAAACAATGGAGCCTAGTGTCTGTTTCATTCCCTTTGTGTTTGACTGAGACCCAGATGGCTCACTGTCCCTCAGTATGTTCCTGCCACCTCCCCGCTGAGATCTCATTGGCCGTGACGCATTGCCCTGCTCAAGTCAGGACACTACTGTCTTTCTTCCCTGTGGGAATGTGTTTCCAGGGCCAAGTCCAACAACGCTGACCTGGGCATCACTTGGGAGGTGCTGGAGTGAGTTGCAGGCTCTGGTCCTGCTGCTATAGCCTGGAGTCCTAGTTGTCATTCCCTGACCCAGCAGAGGGAACAGATAACAAATTCACTGACTATAGTCACACCATGAATGCTTGGACAGTGACCCCCTCCCCAGAACATCAGGGGTAAATGCTTCTGTCACAAGGAGTAGGGATAGCCTAAAGCCAGTCTTCAGGCAGGATTGGGGCCAGGTGCCACACACAGCCCTGACCCCTTCTTGACTGGCTGGTGCCCAGCAGAAGCCATAGCAACCCCCAGAATTCTCAGACCCGGGGTATTGTGTAGCTGGAGCTCAGTAAGCATCTTATGGGACGGAAGAGGGCAATTCGGGGAACTCTGGGTTCTGAGCTTTCCTCCCATCAGCCATTACAACCAAGCAATGCACAGTCCAGGGACTTGCGAAACCAGAGGCACCTAAGAGACACAGTCAGTGGTGAGGGTCCAGCCAGACGAGAATGGAGTTTGCTGTTGGGACCCTCCCCCCAGCCTGTCTCCCTCCTTCTCCATGATAACTCCACTATCAAAGGATGGAAGGGCTGAGAGAGAGCCGGTTTGGGAACTCTTTGCCTGTGACCAGTTAGGAGAGTTGACTGAAAGCCTTGATGTGACAGAAAAGGACAAAGACAGTCATTTCACATCATCTGAACCACAATCATTTTATTATTGTTTGTAGCCCAAGATGGCTTCACATTTGCAATCCTTCTACCTTTACCTCTGGAGTTCACCATTATCCCTAGCTTTGGTTGCTTTGGTTGTTTGGTGGTCTTGGGAACTGAACTCACAGCCTTGTACATGCTAGACAAACACTGTACTATACAGCTATACCCCAGCCTCCATCTTGTATTTTAGTAACAGCCTTATTGAGATAACCAATCACCAAAAACCCTTTTTATAGTCAATAGCTCAAGGAGTTGTGGGAACATCACAATTGTCTACCAGGTTATTTTTTTTCATGACTCTGAAAAGACAAAAACCATACACACATCATTTATACATTCATAGTTCCTGGAAACTTCTAAGTTACCTCATTTTTATATATACTTGCTACTCTGAAGATTTCATGTAAATGAATTCAGACAACATGTATCTGGCTCTAATGTCTGGCTTCTTTCTCATACGGTTCGGCCAGGTTGTCCCATGTATCAGTGTTTTGTTGCTTTTTTTGTGGTTGAATAATATTCTCTCATATGGACATACCACACTGAGTTGATGCATTTGTCGGTTGAGTTGGTTTTCTAAGTCATCATGAATTATGCTGTTATGAACATTTATTTGTGTGCATCCTTTTGTGTGTCTTCTACTTGCTGAGTGCGCTTGGTTTTTTAAATGAGTGAAGTATCACTGTGACGTATGACCTCTGGTCACACTTGTTGTCAGAGCTTGCCCTCTTCCATGTTCTGGGTTAAGTGCAGTGCAAAGGATATGTGCTGCCACTGAATGCTCCCATGTGCCACTCCGAGCTGAGGACATGTCAACAAACAGGATGAAGCCTTTGGCTCTTCTGTGTCTCTCTCCCCACTCTGTCCCCTCTCCCCACCTTGGTCTGCCACATACCAGGTAGTCTACTTCACATGCTAACTAATGTAACAGATTACCCTTCTGCATTCCCCCACAGTGTAACCAAGTCACCTATGGAATATACCCGCTGCACCCTAACCCACTGGGGTGTTCTCCAACTGCAGTCAGAGCCCAGCATCCCCTGAACTAGAATCCTCACCTGCAAAGAGCAGCTTGTGGTTCTTCAATTCTGCTTACCAAGTCCCATGGACTCCCTTTCCCTCAGGTCATCCAGCACTGTGTGGATATTTACAAATGATACACAGACACTGGAATCCAGTCACAAATGAATCAGACACCATTCCCTCCATCTGTCTTCAACAGATCATCTTCCTCTCAAGGCCTGCAATTAGTCTGTCAAGGCTCACCTCCCTTCTAGAAACATGAACGAACTAACACTTCCCTCTCTGCCCAGACAATTGCAGGAGGAAGCAAGCTGGAACCGGATGGGCTCATCTGTTCAAGAGGCACATGGAGCTGGGCCCAGCTGTCACCTCAGCTGCCACCTCAGCTGCATGAACTATAAAGCCTTAGCAAGCTCGAGGGTGTGTGTTCCACATCCTTCCCGTCTGTGGCGAGCTCCCAAAGGACACTGGTCACGGAGCAAAACTCCTGGAAAGGGTGCAGCTCAGTTCCCGGCTTGTACCAGCCGGGGCTTTCTGAAGCCTACTCACTTTCACCACTGTTTGGTCATGTGACACGCTGACTTCCTGGTGGCTTTGCATTTCCCTTTATCTAAGGTCTTTCGGGTTGACTGTCTAGGAGATCCTCGAGGCACTGTGAAGGCTGACTCTGGAGTAGCTGTTGCCTGGAATAGTTCCTGAAATCACACTACCGCTAACCTCCATTACCCACAGTGGACAGGGAAGAAATCTCACCACAATGGGTGTCTTGCTGTTTCCTAGTCCAGACAGGGGGAACCTCGCTGCACAGAAAGGGATGAATGGATCAGATAGATGGGTCACACTCAGACTCTAAGGTGGGAGTGGTGACACTTAGTGTCCTACCAAAGCCAGTCTGCCTCCCCAAGGGCCTTCTTTACCACACCAAGCCCTCAGAGTCCCTCCCTGTACCTGTCGGTCACCAACTTCTAGCTTCTGGTGTCATCATCTCGTTTGTAGGATCGCTGGCTCCAGAGAAGAGGGAGCCTGGGGTGGGTGTAGGTGTTCACACTGCTGTTGTCACCAGATGTTCCCGGTCAAGTGTCTGCCATCAGACTGGGACCATGGAGGTCTTAGAGTTTTGCTGCATAGCAGAATTACCTAGAGGTCTCAAAAGTACTGTGGGTGGCTTCCTACCCCCTCACTGGTGTCAACTGGGCTCCTGTGTGTGTGGATGTCTTTAAGCTCAAACCCTTAAACAAGGTACGTTTTATTTAGTGAAACACTGTGAATTCTTCCATTAGAGAACTCCAGTGTGTAAAGATCAGATAATCAAGAAATAAGAAAAACCAAGGTTTGTGTATGTGCATGTGTCCATGTGTGTGCGGGGACATGTGGGGGGGGGACATGTACATGCATATGTATACAGGTGCACATAGAGGCCAGAAGACACCTCGGGTATTGTTCCTAAGGTGATCCTCAGTCTCTCTCTCTCTCTCTCTCTCTCTCTCTCTCTCTCTCTCTCTCCATAAATACATGAATAAATGTATGTTTTTTAAAACTTAAAAGCATTAAGGTGGCCTGTATCCCAGCTTCTCTCCACAAGCCGACTGCTCCAACCCGAACGCTCAGGGCAGCCCCATCCACACAGCTTGCTGTGAACACATCTGCTTCAAGAACATGCTTTGTGAGTGACTCAAAGACCAGATCCCTGGCTTCCAGTGGCTTGCAGCTAAGGGTGGATAAGTTACCTCACCAGGAATTGTAGGAGGGCTAGGGGCTGGGGAGGAGGGTGAATTCTGTCTAGAAGATAGATGGAGCTGAAGAGCTGGCGGGTATGTGAGTTGGAGCTGGGCTGGTAAATGCAATCTCATAGGTTGGTGTCAAGCTCACCAGGGGGGTGTTTCAGCCATCCCTGTCAGATGGGAGGCAGGGGCGGGACGTGAGGTCAGAGGGCAGGGACGGATGGTGGAGGGGAAAGGCTGGGACTGTGCCAGCATGTGCGCGCAGAGCAGTCTGTTGGCACCT